ATTATATATAGATAATTAATTAACCCTCTAGATTCTTCACAGAACTCATCGATCTTTTTAAACAATCTCAGCCTGATGTAAAAATATCACCAGCATCATTTTATTTTTGTACGAGTCTAGTTTATCAAAACTTCACAATTTTATAGATTTTGTGATATTTTTTGGAAAAAAACAATACTCAGGATGCCCACATAAAAAATTAAATTCTTATTTTTGTGAAGACTCTACTCTTCGTAGAACATCCCATGATTTATTTTTTATTTTTTATTTTTTTAGTAAAAAAAACCCTCAAAATTATGCATTTTCTTTCCAGAGATGACAACATAATAATATATATGGAGCTAAATTAGAGCCATAAAGTTTTTCAAAAAATTCTTAATTAAACTGAAAACAAAATATTTTTAATAAAAAACTAGTTTTAAACTGGAAAAAATGTTCTATTTAGATTATATGACACAACATCCTGACATAGTTTGATCATATAATAAAAGCCTGCCATACCTAATTAATTATATGACAAAATGGCCTGCCATATTTCCTGATTATATGATACCACAACCTGATATTTTAAATTATATGACACAACCTGCCATACCTTGTTAATTACATATGACATGCAATATTTTTAAATTATATGACACAGCGGCCTGCCGTACTTAACTATTTGACACGACACAATATATACAGTATTTTCTTCATATGATACAAGTAATTTTTTAACTTTTTTAAATTAGTTTCAAATCATTTTGATTTAGCTCCAAAATTTTTCAAGTTTCAATTATTATTATTTTTGGACAAACTTTATGACCCCAATTTAGTTCCATAAAAGTCGGCTCAATTTGTTCAGAAACTGAAGCTTTAGAGGTCTTAAGTTATATTCTGACATCATGTGTCCAATACTGGACTTAGAAACTCAAACCTAGATTCAGATTTAGACTCTAAAACCATGTTTCAGGATTTATAAATTAAAACCAGATGTTTAAAATGAAATAAAAGTCTGTTTGTCCCGTCTCTTCATCCAGAGACGTGTCTTTGGACTCAGAATCAGAACTTCTGATGGTCTTTCACCTCTTCCTTCGGTTCTCGCTCCGATCGTCTCCGACTCTTTCTTCTTCTCCTCTCTTTAAACTGCCTGTTTAACACTTTGGAGGTGATGCAGACTTCAGCAGTTTTAGTGAAAGACGGATCTTATTAGACATTCAGAGCAGGAGCTTCCTCTGCGTTTCCAAGAACGTCTTCCAAGATGAACAGAACCACCGTATTTTTCATTTATGTCCCCAGGATACACGAGAATAAAGATGGTGGAGTTAGCGTTACAAGCAGATGATGCCTTTCTCTGCATTTATACACAGAACTGATGTGGATTAACAGAGGTAGTGTCAGTTTTTACAGTGCTGATGCTAACGTTAGCAAGTTAGCTTGTTGCCAAAAAATTTAAACTGATATGTGTATGTTAGCTTAGCACAAACCCCAACATAAGCATTTTTGTTTGTTGTTCAAGTGCTAACACTATTAATAACATCTTAGGTTTTTCTTAAAGAGCTAATAATGTTAGCATTTTAGCCTTTGAAGTTTGTCAATGCTAATTTTAGCATGTTAGCTAATGTTTAAAACACATACCCCAACATAAAACTTTTTGTTTGTTCAAGTGCTAACACTTTTAACTACATCTTAGGTTTTTTTTTAAATAGGCTAATAATGTTAGCATTTTAGATTGTTGTGAAAATGTCAATTCTTATTTTAGCATGTTAGCTTATTTAAATCACAAATGCCAACATAATCTTTTTTTATTGTTGAAGTGCTAACATCTTTTGTAGAAGCTTATGTTTTTCCTAAAGGGCTAATAATGTTAGCATTTTAGCTTCTTGTGAAATTGTCAATGCTAACTTTAGCACGTTAGCTTATTTAAAGCACACACGCCAATGTAAGCATTTTCGTCTGTTGTTCAAGTGCTAACACTATTAATGACATCTTAGGTTTTTCCTAAAGGGCTAATAATGTTAACATTTTACGTTGTTGTGAAACCGTCAATGCTAACTTTAGCATTTAGCTAATGTTTAAAACACAAACGCTAATGTAAGCATTTTTGTTTGTTGTTCAAGTTCTAACGCTAAAAAAAAACATTTTAGGTTTATCTTAAAGGGCTAATTTAGAAATTTAGCTTGTTGTGAAATTGTCAATGCTAACTTTAGCGTTTCTAAACCATGTAATGTTGGGGTAAGCATTTTAGATTTTAACCAAAATTATCAATGCTATTTGTAGCATATTAGCTTGTTGCTCATTTGCTAGCAGTCATTAAAACATTTTAGATTGTCTCAGAATTGCTAATGCTAATATATAAGCTTGCCGTAAAAGCATCAATGCTAATGTGTTATCACTTTAGCTTCTTCACTTTCTTTAACTTCTGCATGATGCCAGTTTGTTGCTGAAGGGCTAATGCTAATACCAGCACTGAACTGCTTTTAAGAGGTTTAGAAAACTTTAAAAATCTTCTGTTTGAAAAAGATGCAAAACTGAAAGAGAAAATAATTAAAGCCTGAAGTGAAGTTTGTGTTTAACAGGTCATAAAACAGAGAAGTTTTACTCAGAAACAAGTCGTTGAACTTTTGGCCTCTGTTTGTCTTCGATTCAGCTCTCACCTCTTCAACTCCTCCTGATCGATTTCACAAACCTTCAGATCCATTCTGACCTCTTGCCTGTAAGATTTGCGTATCTCTGTTTTGGCCTCGACGCTGCGAGGTAAACCGTGCTTCCCGTTGGTGCACACGTCAGTCCCGGCGAGGCCCCTCCCCCTCCCCCTCCCCCAGCCCTGACTGACAGCCGCCGAGGAGCGACTGTGAAAAGACACCGTTTTGTTGTTGATCTCCTCGTGAAAGGCCGTGACAGTCTGAGAGGAGTCCCGCTGATGCCTGGGACTCCCCGCCTCCGTGACCCCGAGACCCTCCTGGACCCCCTGCCTCACGTATTGATATCTGCAGATGTGCCTGCCTGCATGATAATGGACCTCCACTGGAGGAGCCCCTTACAGTGCCCGTCTATAAATCACACCGAGGACACAGAGTGAGCTGTGTGTGTGTGTGTGTGTGTGTGTGTGTGTGTGTGTGCGTGCGTGTGTGCGCGCTGCTCGAGGAGATCCATGCTGCATTATTGATGGTCCTCTGGGAGGGATGAAAGGATGAATGGAGGCAGCAGAGGGAGGTGAAGATGGACACCAGAGAGCGTTCTGTAACCTCATTCCAGGACAGGTTCCTAACTGTCTGTTAGCAAAATATCTTGTGAGCCAGTAGATCAGGGGTCCCCAAACTTTCCCCTGTAAGGGCCACATAACTTTTCCCTTCTCTGGTGGGGGGCCGGAGTCAGTTTGTAACAGAAAAAGTGTGACTACAGCAGGAGTGCCTAAATGTAAAAATTTATTGTTTTCCAGAAAGCACAATCAAATAAGCCTCTCTGGGTTCTTCACAGTCTGTATTCTGCTGAGCTAACAGTCCACTTTTTAGCTTTGACAGTTTGTTTGCTCTCATTTGGCCTTGCAAGCTATCATACTTGTCTTTGTGACGGGATTCATAGTGTCGCCGCAAATTGTATTCTTTGAATGCCGCCACTGCCTCTTGACAGATGAACAAAAAAATAATCGTTTGTCCACTGCAGCTTAAATCTGCATTCTGATAAATTTTTCTCTTCCCTAATCTGTTCACCATTATTCTGTTCTCTCTTTGAGAGGGGCGGGTTTAGGATTTTTTTTCTGGGGGGTTGCCAGATAGGGGCACAGACTGCAGAAGGGTGGAACAGAATGTCACGTTATATGTGTTTATGTATGAAATAGTTACTAACTAATAATAGTTAATAATGAAAATAGTTCATAACTAAGGAACATTTTATCGCAAAAGTCCGACTTTATAACCAAATATAAATACACATACAGTATATGAAAAAAAAACTAAATGCTCTCTGGTATTGTTCTGGGGGCCGGACTAAATGGGGAGGCGGGCTGAATCCGGCCCGCGGGCCGTAGTTTGGGGACCACTGCAGTGGATGGACTGTTAGAAAGTTAAACTTTAGCCATTTTAGCGGTTAATGAGCTAAAACTTCAGGATAACTTTCTGCGCCTCGTCTCAGAACCTGTCCTGATTCATGAGATATTTTGCTAACAGACACAGCTGAGTGTATGCAGTGACGGCTCAGTGGGTGTGTTCCTCAGTGAGCAGGTGTCAGGTGGGCGGATCGGCAGCACCTGATTGGTTGGAACTCATCCAGACTTGATGGGTGTAAATTGGTTGATCAGGCTCCTGGGGTCAGATTTATAAAACTGGCGTACGCACAATTTGAGCCCAGAAACTTGCGTACGCCACTTTTTAC